CTAGACTAACTGAATCTTTAATGATAACATTGAGCAAAAATCAATTTTACACAAATTTCAAAGATGTGATTAGTTCCCAAAATCATTTAAAAGAATCAAATCACTGCTATTAATGATGAAGATTAAACTGAACTGATGTTTAATTTAATTTTAATTATTTATATTTTATGTTACCAAATAGGGTAAGATTCCAGGGCCGCCAGACCTATTTGATTTTATTCCGCCCTAAATTGAATATCGTCATCGTCAGTAAAAGTGACGATACGGCCATCGTCGTCAGCCATGTTACTGATGCGCTGACGATCGTCGACGATGACGAATTATTACAGTGTACAGCGCTTGGCTGGATATTGGACTAAAGCAACTTTTTTTAAAGAGATTGAGTTGTAATTAAAAAAGTAATTTTTCTGTTTTTCGAACTTAGCCTTCCGAAATTCGAAATTGGACCTTTGGTAAAAAAATATTTTTTTGAATTATTGTATGTAAAAACTAAAAAAGTGAAAAATGCGCGTGGTCCGCCTTTTTAACTTATTTAAACGGTATATAACTTTTTTGGTTCAAACTTATACTATAGGTGCTATAAAGGTCTGACAAAGGTCTGATAGGAAAATCAAAAAAATTATTTTTCAAAAAATTTTGAACTGATTTTTAAGTGTTATAAGGGAACTGTAATATAAGTTTGCACAAAAAAAGTTATATATATAAGTCACTTATTTTCCATTCTACAAATTTTAGCTAAAACATCGCCAAAATGGATGTCAAATGAAAGGTGTTTTTGAGAACTTTAGTAAGAAAATATTTTCGTTGAGGGTTGCCACGTTTTTTTGCAATACAAGTATTTTGTTAATTTTAATAATAAATTTTTTGTAAATATGTATACACAGTATATACATATACGCTCAGGATATGTACTATACATCCCAACGTCTTTCTATGAGAGGTCGCCACCTAATTTTTAAAGGAAGAAATTCACTTACTTTGTAAGATATAAAAAGCCAAATTTTTTTAAATTTATTCCAACATATTATTTTTAAAGCTATCTAAATGTCCAGTATTTGATACCTAAAACTTGAAAACAAAAAAATTATACGCTCTCCAAGCATAGCTCGGTCAACCTGGTACCACAAAACAAGAAACACAATTTACAAAAGTTGCCACTTACAATTGAGGAGTGTCTTAACAAAAACTGATATTTCCTCTTCCGGTATTTTTTTTAATTAAATTTTTTAATAAAATTAAATACAGAAAATTAATACAAAATATTAAAAAAAAAACTCCCATGCACTTGAATGGAGACAATGTTTTTCGATTAATTTCTTTCTGTACCACCTCATACGCCAAAATTTTTCTAAAAATTCAGATAAAAAATTCAAAATTTCGATGAAAATTTATTGAATTTTTCTACGTTCCGTATAAAGTTTACTTATGTGGTTTCGGTTAAAGCATGAACCACATTTGCATAAAAAAATTAAAAAAAAAAAGTTAACTTGAAAAACATTGCATATACAAAAAATACCATGGACTCACTTTTGATTGCTATATATTTACGACGAAAACGATAGTTTTGCGCATTTCACTTACGTTATGCGTTTGCAAATCTTCAGTTTAGGCAATTTGTGTTTGATATGGATCAAAACCGATGCTTTTACTTGATGCATTTCTGAACGCACCATTGATAACACTGATCGATATTAATTGACACGACACTGATTTGTGTAAATAGACCTTTAAGTTATGTGAAAAAGTCAATTGACTGGGAATACAAGCGCAGAGTATGAATATCTAAGACGTTATACAATTTCGTTAAATAAAAGAAAATAAAACAAAGTAGAAAGCGAAATGGCTATAAATGAAATTATAAAATTTCCGCTGCCAATCCTATAGTTTGAATAGCAGCAATATAATTCAGTTACGATAGCCGGTGATTGAGCCATACATATACATATGTACTATGTAGTAATTCCACGAGTTCCAAATCTTCAGTTTAGGCATTTGTTTTTTTTTTTCATTTAAAAAATAAGTTCTTTATTTTGTAAGCATACAATCATTATTTAAAATTAGAAAATTAAAATATTTTTAATAATAATAATACAAAAACTAATATAATAATTACCAGCTAAAAGTTAATTAAGCACTGTGTATAAATTATCTTTTTATTTTATTTTATTTTTTGTTTTAAATAAAGCAAACATAAATCCGTACTTATACACTTAAAATTTCATTCAAAAAATTCAATTCGTCATCATTTTCGCAATATTATCAATATTTTTTTAATAATCAATTAATATACACACGTATGCATGTATGTACATATGTATTTAGTTAAATGATTTTTACATTTTCAGCACATTTTTAACGCAATCCTTCTTGTATTTGCCACTGTACAGAAACAAAAAAAAAAAAATAATAAACCAGCATCTGGCGCAGCAGCAGCAGCAAATATACTTGAAATTAATAAAATAAACGATTTATATTCACCTAAAGCCAAATAAAGGAAAAATGGATTAGGTGAATGGGGAAAAACATTGTACGTTTAATGAGCCCTAACGATGCAGTCGCGGAAATGCAGAGAGCAAAGCACATACATACGTGCATATGTGAGAAATAATAAAAACCTAACATACTGCTCTAAAAATTGCAATAAAATCATTTGCGCAGTTCGCAAGTTTGAAAGCTGCGTAGGCAATCACTGTAAAAGGAGGATCCTGACTGGCTATTTGGGGCACGATTTGGCTTTGAGCCATTGCCTTTTGTCCAAATTAAATTTTAGCTTGTTTTGTGCAAGAGTGGGGGTGTCTCGTCTAACACGCACTGGCCGGTTACTCCGTCAAGGTATGCTCTGATGCGTCCATTTTTTTTTATTTTTATTTTTTTATGTATGAATTACTTTTCATTGGTTACAGCTTCTTCATTCACATACATACATATCCATATAAATATTTGTATGTACATATTTAGGTAAATATATGTGCATATCATATAGATATTGGTACTGTACGGATGCGGGTATAACTCATCTATTCTGGGCTCGAATCAGAGCATCTGTTCGTGAATCGAAAACCATACGAAAGAAAATTACGTGATACGTCAGGCAGTATAAGCTGAATGGGGGGGGGAACAAAGAGTACGTTCACGTATGTCATAATCTGAAAAATGTGTGTTTTTACGTGACGAGTAATACGATAACGTATGTATGTGACGATTCGAGCCCTGATTTTCATATAGCTTCACATGTGTGTGTGTATATGCATGTATGTACATATGTATGTATGTATGTATGTATGCAGCAGTTGGCTTGTGTAGTGGGTGTAAGCAAGCGATTTAGCACACAATCGTATTTCATCATCATTATTGAAATATGCTACAATTTACATTATATACGTTCTTGTTTTGTAATAATTAATAAAGAGTACGCATTATGTATAAAGATTTTTTGTTGTTGTTGTATTTCGCCTTTAATCAAATAATTGTAATGTCTATTACAGCTGTATACATGTATACACATTTGTATGCATGTATATGTAGATATATATGTATGTTTTTACACCTAACCATTTACAAATAATAACTTAAAATTAAAGTGTTAAAAAAAAAAATTGACAAACATCATTACATTTACAGCGTTTTATTTTACTTGTTTCTTTTACTTTATATTAAGTTTAGTTTATCATTATTTTACATATGCATGTATGTATTATAAGTATGTATGTATGTATGTTCTATATATCATCACGCATTTGTGCAGCAAGCAACAAACACGCATGCGTCACGCACAAGCAGCAAATTCTAATATGTTGTGAGCTATGTATATTTTTTTACCAATTAGTACTCGTGGACTACATGTTTCTTTTCTCGCTTTTTCGTTTGTAAATACATGTGCATATATATGTATATAACTATAGTTTTATATGCATATGTATGAGTCGTACTACTCTCGCCAATCAACAGACAGGCAGACGGACTCCATTCCTTCTGTCGTGCCATGTCGACTAATGCTAACACGCTCAGGGTTTTATTGTTATTTTAATAATAATAAGTTAATCGGATATTAGTTTTTTGGATTACTTTTTTTTTTGTTTTCTTACCAGTTTTTTTTTGTTTTTTTCTTTTTTGTACGCGGTCACATCAAAATCATGATTTTTTTTTCATTTAACATTTAGCTGCAGTTTCTTATACACATCTTTCGCCGTGATCACGCATTTCTCTTTTACTTTCCTTTTTAGTAAACTATTCGTTTCTTGTTTATATATTTAATTATAATTACTCCGTTTTATGTACACCTGTGCCTTATATCACTATGTCACCACCCTTTAGTTATTCTACACTGCATCAAAATTATGTGTATGTACGTTCTTGGTTTGACGCCTTAAGCCTGCCTTTTGTCCAATTAATTAAATCATGCACCTCCGCTCAGCGCACACGTTAGCTACGTTAGATCCAACAATATATTCATCCGAACATCTTTCTCTATAGGTTCTCAAAAATGAGTGCTTATCACCCCACCACACCACTGCAAAGCCGCCACCAAGCAGCAGGGTAGGACATACAAACATCATTTATGACTGAGACTTTGTCCAACTTCCAATGCTATTGCGGAAAAGCAAAACTATTCGAGGTCATGTGACTGCGGCCGTACGCACATGTTTTCTATTTTTCGCTTTTTCCGCGATTTTTTTTTTTTTTTTTTTTAAACTAAACGACACACTACTCTGCGCTATTTTGCCTATATGTAATGTGTTTCATTACAGTTTTCATTCTCCTGTTCTCAACACTAATTTATTACTTGTAGTAGATTCAATTAATATTTAATATTAGTTTTATTTATATCAGTTTAAGCAATATAGTTTTACAGCTACAAATATTAATCTATATATAAACTTGTATACATACATATTTAGCATTCATTTTTTATAGTTGTTTTTCTTTTTGAATTGTTTTGTAATTGTTAATTAATAATTAATTTTTTTTTTTAAGTTAATGCTGAAATTTACGTTTTTTTTTCTTCTTTTTTATGTGCTATTCAACAATGCAGTTTGTATTTAAAATTTTAGCTTTCCTCATCATGCATTGCTTTCATTGCATTACATACATACTTGTTTTTATAGTACATATGTTCAAAGTATATTTTACAGTTTAATTTAGTTTATATTTAATAAGTTATAAGCTAGACATAAGTATAGAAATTTACTTAATCATCATTCTTAATCTTTTGCTCTTCAGCTTTTTACGCTGTTTGCTAAACACAGTTTAACAATAGTGATTTTTTTACATTCCTTTATTTTCTGAATTTTTTTGTTAGTAATTTACATGCACATTTTGTGTGGAGTTTTTTATTAGTTCTTTAATGCGTACATTTACATATATTTGCATTTATTTTATTTTTTGTTCTAAGAAATACATATTTATAATAGCATCATTAAATATTAAAAAAAAATGAATTCGTTAAGTTGCATTATTTGTCAATAAAAGAGGGGAAATGCCGTGCCATTGAAATATGTGTTCTTAAAACTGAGTGAATAATCTTTTTTATTTTTGTTTGTTGCTTTTTATTGTATTTCGTCACGGTCTGCGCACACCTGCTAATATTTTTTATTCTATGTAACTATGGATGTGTATTTGGCGAAAAAAATGTGACAAACTTAAACTGGGCAAACAAAATTCAAGTGGCTTGCCTCACATTTTTGGATATTCGATGCCAGTTTAAAAACACCCTGCTGGCAACATTCAGATGTTTGATAAAACGTTTGAAACTTTACTTTGTGGAATACAACACGAATTGACTAACACAAAAACGACCGGTGTATAATTCGAACGAAATAACATCAAAAACACATACACATACATATATGTATTTAAAAGTAATAATAAACGAAACAAAAATTAGGTATGATTTAACAGAAAGTAAAAAGCGTTTAATGCGAATGCTTGCAAAGACTAGCAAACGCTAAACAATATTATGAAAATATTGCGAGCTGACGTAGGGACAATGTAAGCAAAAAAAAAAAAAAAGTTAGCTTTTTAAACAGCAGTTTACCTCTCCTCCACGTGCTACAATATGTATAATTTTCAAAACAAAAAAGTGGATTAACATTATAGACGCATTCTTTTATATTTTTTCCCCCCGTTCTTTAGCTCTCGAGTCAATTCCATCTTTACTAAAATTATAATATCCGTAAAACCACCTTTTGCATCTCATGATGAGATGTTTCAAAATTAATCTTTTTCGCCTTGTACTCTCCTATCAAGTTCTTTGCTCAGCCCTAGCGTTCGTTCATTCTTCGCCCTAACTATTGCCGTCACATGTTGGTGGTTTGAGGGATGTTCGATGTTCGTCAGAATTCTTACTAGTTCCATATCCCAGCATTAGGTAACAAATTATAAGCCTCCTAACACATTACGAGAACATTTAAAAAAAAAAACACGAAATTTTCTTTATACACACTAAATACTATTCATATTACTACTGCTTTATAAGGTTGATCACCGCTACACATTTAATTTATACGCAATTTCCTCTATACACGTATGTATGTATGTACGAGTAGGTGGATAGTGTCATTTGCTGTTTCACACCTACGTCTATTTCGGCATTGAACTGCACGCACTTGCCCCTCGACTTTGTTTGCACATTTTTCTCGCATACTTTGTTCTTGCATTCCCTATGTACCTCTCTTTTTCCTTTTGCTGGAACTAAATTCCTAACCTCACTGCTGCTGCTGCTGCTGCTGCTACTTTTTCATGCTACTAATTTAGAGTTCTCGTTTCACGTGGCACTTAGTGTGCATCTTCTGGCTGATGGGGCTGAGGGTGTATTTGTGGAGGCTGCAGCGGCGGTTGCTGTTTGCCCCAGTGATAGTGGAATGGCGGCGGCACATGGTAGTGTGGCTGCTGCTGCTGCGGCGGTGGTGGGGGTTGTAGTGGCACCTGCTGTTGGTAGTGTGCTTCCAGCTGCGCATATTGGTGGTGTTGATGCTGCTGCTGCTGCTGCTGCTGGTGATGCAGGTGGTGATGCTCCATGCTCAGTTGCTGCTGTTCGTGTTGGTGAGGCTGAGGCGTTGGCTGTTGCTCTAGCGTTAAATCTGCGTGCTGCTCTTGCATTGTCACGGCCGGCATTGCTGCTAACGTCGCTGTCGGCATCATGGTTGTGTACTACGCAACCGCTGCTGTTGAGTTGGCCGGTGGTGCTGCGGTCGCTGTGGGCACACTTGCTGCTGCTGTCGCTGCGGTAGTTGGTGGTGGCGGTGGTGACGATTGTGTCGTCGCCGCGGCCATCAATGTTGCTGGAGGCGCGTTGTTTCTGTTGTCGACGGCGGCGCCATTTGCATTATTATTGTTGCTGGCATTGGTAAGTGGTGCTGCACTAATATGGGGCATTGTTGCACATATCACATTCTTACCACTGCTACCGTTGCTTGAGCTTAGCAGCGTTGGCTGCATGTGACCCGCCTCGCTGTTTGTCAGTGTTGATCCTACCGCAGCACCCAGCGCATTCGCACTGGCGTTCTCTATCGCGCTTTTAATGTGCATGTTGCTGTTGGTGTTGTTGTTGCCACTGCCTATGCTATTACTATTGCTGTTGCTGCTCACTGTGCCACAACTGTTACTGTTGGTGCTGCTATTGCTAACATCGTTAAGCAACGCCGCGGCGGGGGCCAAAGCATTGCTGCTGTTGCTGTTATCATCGACGGAGGCGCATGCGTTTTGCGACTTGCTCATTGCCGCATTCGCAGCTGCAGACAATGGCTGCTTGTGTATGGGCGTAGAGTCACTACTGCTGATTTCGCTCATGTTGTGGCTACTCGCGCTGATGTTGCCATTAGCGTTGATACCGCCGGCCGCATCTGCCGCAGTCGCTGTTAAATCTTCTCGCTTAATATCACTGGTGAGCGTTCGAGTTGCATGTGCTGCCACTTCAGCATTCACAGCTTGGGGCTCAATTGATGTTGGTGCACCAGTCGATGGCGCTGAGGGTGCGGTTTCCACTTTGACTTGAGCTTTCACGTCAGCACCTGGCGTGAAATGCCTATCTGCAGCAGAGTTTTTTTCCTCCTGCCTTTGTTGAAAACGATATTCCAGCGATGGTATCGACGACGGGCCGCCGACACCGGTGCCACGCGAAACTTGGAACAGTACACGCGATATAATCAGCGCAACCTGCTGGTCGAGAATGTTAGACATCACCAATCCAAGCAGACGCTGCTCTTGGTGCATGAACAGGGAACGGTTGTCCGGATGTTTGGCCAGATGTAGCAGGGTGCCGGCAGCACGTCGCAGCATGTCCAAACTTGTACCCATTGAGTCGGGATTTTCACGCAGGTAATTGATTCCATGCTGGTTGGCAACTCCCAATGCCGTTTGCTCGGCCTGTTCGATGAATGCCACAAGGTATGAGATGCAGGGCGACTGCAAGGCCACTGTACGTGCCATTGCACTGTCAGCTGCGGCCAGATAATGCAGCAAATTAACGGAAAACTCACGCAGTACCTGATCCTCGTTGCGGCAAAGGTGGCGCGTCAACACCGCACACAACTTTTCGAGGCGCGAATGCGGTGGTGTCGCTATCACGAGATCGACATTTGCGTCTGTCACACACAACTTACAGAGAGCCTCTAACGCCAGACGCTGTGGCGAAAGCGAAGTATTGGGACCACAAGACGGGAAGGGATCTTGACCGTGTGCACTTGGACACACCGCCCAGTGCAGCAGACCGTCGATGAGAGGCCGCGCTATGAGCTCATCGTAACGTGACAATTCAAGATGGCCTGCAATGTTCGCCAAGGCGACAAGCATATTTTCGCGTATGTGCACCAAGTAGTCCCACCACCATTCTCTTTCGCCTTGAAGTGAGCTGCATGAATCTGAGAAATCGGTGTCCTCTTCGCGATCATAGTTACGCGTTTTGGGTGTACGCTGTAAGTGCTCGTGGTTGAGCAGCAGGAGGCGGCCAAGTATGGCTAGGAATCGGCGCGACTTGGCCAAGAGTGTTTCGTTGCCCGGCACGAACGTCAAATTGCGGAATATGTTCGATAGGCAGATACAGCGACGCGCTAGCGCATCCTGACACTCGCTAACTAGGTACAGACTTGCTTCGTCTCGAGTATAGCACTCTTCTTCGACCGTGGAGGCACGGCGCCGCTGCAACACTTGTGCTGCGTCGCGCACCGTTGACATGGGATCGAAATTTTTCAGTACACCACTATTGCCGCCGCCAACTAGACGTTGTTGCGGCAGCAGTTCGATTTCCATATCCACCTCACGACAATCGCTGTCGGTGGCAACGATGGCGTTTTCTGTTGACACCGTGTCCGTTGGCTCCCTTTTAAGACTCGGTGGCGCAAATGCGTTTTCGTCCTCTTGTAATTTCGACTTTTTAGCGCCGCTGGCGTCAAAAGCGAACGCGGCCCCGACTTGACTGTGTTTGCTTGCGCCACTGCTGTTGTTGAAGAGTCGCCGCTTCTTGTTAAACGTATGCTGTAGCTTGCTATCCTCAGCGCAGCCCTCTTCCGTCGGTTCATTTATCAAAATTTTGCTGCTGGCCTCACTGCCGTCTACAACGCTCTGCACATCTTCGGCACTGACAGCGCCACTAGCTTTCCCACGCGACTTTGTCGCCTCTGCCCCTCCGCGATTTTTATCGCTACGGCTGCGTACGTAACGAGCGAATGGAATGTTTATGATCTCCGACTTGAACACGTCGATTATACCGTCGTGCGCGTTGCGGTCCGCAAAACCATATGTCCAACTCCAGGGTGTAGTTTCGTTCCCCGTTGCCTGCTCATAAATAGGCTCCACCTCTGAGTCCCAATCCTTTTGTCTATCCGATACAAATATATCATCCTCTGCTGATTGTAGACGTACTGGCAAACCCTTGCGTGACATCAACGTGTAGTTGGGCGTGTTAGAGAGCAACATAACACGCTCCTCGGGGTTTGGTAGCACACGTATTTGTCCCAAATCGATGCCTTCATCCTCGTCATCGTCATTGTCGGCCAATGGCATTTTCGATGACTTAAATTTTTCGTAATCGTTATTGTACTCGACGGTGTCGCTACCTCCAATGCAATGCCGTTTGCGGTTGTAGTTTTGTACGGAACGGATGTGCCGACTACCGCCACGTTGTTCCACGTCTGCGTCACTATCGTTAAACATCTCTGCAAGATTCTTTTGGAAATGTTCCAAAAGTAACGTCAACAGACCCGGCAAATGTGCCAATCCAAAGTACTGCACCGTTGTGTCATCGAAAAGTAGCACGTTCAGCACGTCTAATGCCCAGGTGCACTCAGTCAACAGACCGGAACGCATTGCCATGAAAATACGCCATGGATCTACGGGACAAACATCGGTTTTTGCAAGCCGCTTACGCCTATACAGCACTGGTGTGGTGGCTTCAACGCTGTCCGGCGGGAAAACTATTTCTTTTTTAACTAGCTGGGCGCCAGGGGGAGTTGGAAATGGTTGCTGTGGCTGTGCTTGTGGCGGTTGTTGTTGCGTTGTCACCTGTGGCAAGCCAGGTGTGCCCAGTTGCGGTACAGCGCTTACTACGGAAACCGGTGGCTTGGGTGCACCGGCAACTGGTGCGCCCATGACTGGTGGCATAACACTGACAGTGCTGGGTGGTGCCGCAACAGATGGTGGCGGGCCGCAAGCTGGCGCAACTGCGCCACTGACCTGTGGTGGCGGTGGCATCGCAAATGGTGGTTTTGTCATGGGTTGATTGGACGTTGGTCCAACGGTTGGTTGCTGCGCGGGTGGCGGCGGCATGCCGGGTCGCTGCTGTGGCGGTTGCTGTTGACTACCGCCAGGCGGCCGTAACGTTGATCCGGGTGCACCTGGTTGTGGTGGTGGCTGCTGAGCGTTGCCGGCCATTTGCGCCCACTGTGGCGGCGGCTGTGGTTGTTGCTGCTGACTTTGTTGCTGATATGGCGGCTGTTGTTGTGGTGGCGGTGGAGGTTGTTGGGGCGCATAACGATGCTGCTCCCATTGCACGGCGGTCGATGCTTGCTGGTTTGGTGGTCCAAGTGGACCAGTGCCTGGTGGTGCGGCTGTACGAGGTGGTGCGCCGCCCCAACCTTGGGGTGATGGTGCAGAAGGATACTGTCCACGGTACTGATTTGAACCACTCCAACCACCTGTATAAATTGGGAAGCACAATTAATTACGAACATATTTTGTATGTATGTAGGTTGCAAAGTGCCAAACTCGATGGCTTCGAATACATACCATACATTTGAGGTCTTGTATTATACGCTGGATAGGGCTGAGAGTCTTTCACAAAGTCCGGATGCCGTCGAGGTTGAGGAGTCTGTTAAAAATTAATGTTAAAAATAACTATTCCAATAGTTCAAAAGCTTGTAACGCACCTGATCGGGCGGTCTGTAATAGTCCTGTGTTGGTGCACTGGGCGGATAGCCACCGCCTGGAGCTGCCGGGCCAACGGTTGGTGGACCAGCAGCGCCGGCCACAGCCGAGCCCGGTGGTGTAGGTGTTTGAGAGCTACCCGGCGGCGGTTGACTGTACGAACGACTGCCATAAGGACCGTATTGATTTGCACCTGGTGGAGGACTGTATGGGAATTGAAAAGATTTTTAATTTTACGATTCGACTATAAAATCCAGCAAAGGCTAGTTAGCCAATTTATATGCTGGGCAATGAGTTAGAAAACAATACTTTTGTAAAAATTGTTCAGATAAGTAGTTAACAACATATGGACTACTATGTATCAATGTATGGAGAAGTAGAGAAAATAGCACTCACGCTTCCCCCTCGGGCCCATAAGAAGGGTACATATTTCGATTTTGTGGCGGAAACTGAGGTCCTTGACCTTGGCCGAACTGGCCGGGTGGCCCAGTCGCATTGTATTGATCGCTCGAACCATATTGACCATAGGCTCCCGGCTGTCCTGGATATGGAGAGCCTGTGAACAAATGAAAATATATATATATATATATGAGAATAGTTAGTGACAGATCAAATTTCTTAATGATGTATAAAATTAAACGATAATTGGACATACTACATATTATAGAGAGGAAGAATATAGAAATAGAAGTAAATCGTGTGGCAGAAAATGTCAGACCAATTTAGGAGTGTCTAATCAAAAGATGATATGGTATTTTTACAAGACTTTTATAATTTAAAAAACATGTTTAATATTAGGGCAACTCATCAAAACGCGTCAAAATGCCTCGTAACAATGTAAACCTCGCGTAAACTTAATTAATTTTGTATGAAAAATTGGGTTATGTACGAGGTTTACGCGGTTACGAGGCAATTACGCGCTTCCATGAATTCCCATATTAATTTTTGAAACAACTTCCTCTTACTCTTTCTGTAAAATAAAAGTATATTGGAAATATCATCTCTGGATAAGGCGTTCCCCCAATTCAAATTATGTTTGCAATGAAATTGCGTCTATGCAAGTCCCAAATTCTCACATCGACAATGAAAAAATGAACATGGTTCACCATTGACAGGTCTATTCCGCTCTGGTATTTAACAAACATTTTGTAGCCGGTTCAAAAAGTTCCGGTAATTTTGTAAATCCATTCGCATTCTGTGGTGTACTCTTGTGACCGGTAAATATGGTCACCATCTTAACTTATAAGCTGACCATAAAATATACAATACCAGAATTACTACAAAAATCGATAGCTGAATTGGTAACAATTTTTGTTAATGTTACAAAACAACGGCAACGTGCAGAGAAAAGACCCGTAAAAGTGAAAAAATGTAAACAACGCGTTAGTTAGTTGAAGTATTTTTATTATGAAAAGAGAACCTGTGGTGGCATGTTCAATAAAATGGGAATAAAAAATTACAAATAGTTTGTTGTACAATAACTTTCATCAAAGTTTGCTAATCAAAAGATAAACAAAAAAAAAAAAACTGACTTATTAGCGACTGGATCTTTTTTTAATTCAATAAAAAAAAAACTCGGTAAAGTTATTAACTACTACTTTCTAGTTTCATTTAGGAAATTAACCATCAAAAATTCTGTGACAAATTTTTTTTTTGAATCAGCGAAAATTGAATTAAACGTTTTATGTATTTAAAAAGGCCAACACTGAGCATAGAATAGATATTTTACTACAAAAAAAAAAAATAAGACCAAACACAAAATTAATGAAAAAACATAATCGTAAAGTGAGTTGCGCTAATAAATGAATGAAATCTGTAGGAGACATTTTGAAAACCAAAAGAAGCCAATGCAAATCACTAAGAAACTAAAAAATCAAACAAAACTACACAGAAAAATTAAAATAAACAAAGAATGTAATACCTGGCGTCCTAGACACCGGCGTGTACGAATTGCCAGCGCCCTGTTGATAAGGGGAGGCACGCGGCGGCGGTGGTGCATTGCTCACACTACTATTGCCACTACCACCGCCACCCACAACCGGATCGTCAAAAGGATTGCTCACACTAATATTATCACCAGTTGCTGCTGTTTGAGTATTGCCTATGGATGCGTGATTCGAGATGAATAGTTGATGATTCAAATTGTTTTTGGTTTTTGTTTTTGATTTTTTGATTTCGTTTTCGTTTTTCATTACCACGAATGATGATGGTTCATTCATTTTATTTCGATTTTCGATTTTGTTGTTTGTTTGTTGATATTTAAAAAATTTGTATATGATGTTTTGTTGGTAGTGATGGTGGTGGTGGTTGTGGTTTTGGTGAGATGATGATGATGGTTGGTGATGAGAAAGTAAGTTAAGTGATTGAAATTTGCAAAAATAAGAATCAAAAATAAAGAAATAAATTAATATTAATTGAAAAATGTGAAACAAATTACAGACTATTTATTGGATAGGATTTTTTATTTTATTTTTTTGAGATGTATTTTTAAAATGAGTTACTAATTTGGAATTGAGAGAGACGTGCCATTTGTATCCAGTGTTAGTGACAGTTACACTTGAAATGTTAGTTAAGTTTTGGAATTTTGCAAATATGAACCTTTTTAGTACATATTTTTTTTATATATATGTATGTAAATAATGCAAAGCGAAAGATTATTATTCTAAAAAATAGTTTGTATTATTGGTTTGTTAATTACCTGCATGTGGAGTTTGTGCGTTGCTTTGTGAGGGTGGCCGTTGCATTTGGCCAACACCCGCGCCGTAGTCCGGCTGTGGACCAGCTGTGCCGGGATAACTGCCCGGATAGCCTGGATAGCCGTCAATCGCTGGATTCGCGGCTGCGCCCGGAGCGGGGAATGAATCTTGAGAATTCGATGAACCAGCTGGCATAGTTGATATATTTGCGTTTTCCAATGCAATTGCACCGCCAATTTTTTCAAGAGATGGTGGGTTTTTGAAAGAAAATTCCGATAAATTTATAATTAAAACAATGCCCATATTGAATTAGGATTTTGTGCTGAAATACATATGTATGTAAGTACTTATAGAAATACATAAATATTATAGACGACTTGACGACTTTATTTGATTGTCAATATTTTGGTCAGTCTTTTCGATGCAGTTAATTCCTACTTTGATGACAGATGAACTCTTATGCCGACAGGAAATGCTAAAGCAATTCCCAACTCAGACCTAATTATATACAAATGTATGTACATAGTTTATTAAGTTCTGGGGCCATAAATAGGCACCTGAACAAACCGGCTAATCCAAAAGTTTATAACATTGTTTTAACATGTGTCCCTAATTGATTGAAGATAAGCTGGAACAATGCTGAGCTTGTACAAACATGCCTGTTTTGAGGAACGATAATGGCAAATTTTCCGGCATTTATCAATCAATGGTCGTATTTCTCTCAGTTCCTAACGAGATTACAGTCTTGGTTATACTTCTCGTTTTACACATTGCAAACTTAAGTAAAAACATCATTCTGTGATTTTAAACGTCATCATTGCATGTCATGCTCCTTTAAATTTGAAACTTTGGAGTGCAATGGGGTATAGTCGTTGTGCTGTGTATGCAATTACAGTTGCACGGCTATACTAAATCCCGACTCTTACATCCTCGTTCTCGCACTCTGGGCAACGTGAGCAACCCATGTTCGAGATGCGGTAACCAATCCTAGTGGAGCCTTGGGTCACGGCAGAAAGAGAGGGAGCTTCGGTGGGGCCACTCCGTCTTACTCGGTTTAAGGGCTCACTGAAGTCTGCAGCGTCTGTTCACCAATAGGTGCGCATGCAAGCGGGTGTCTGTCTTGGAGCAAGCGGCTCGCTATATAAAAGTGTATTTGGTAGTGAAACCACCCCCGTCCCAGCTATGGGTTATGCGCTGGGTTTGAGACCCGCCACGTAAAAAACCCTTCCAGTGAAGAAGCGAAACAATGCCTCAGATGAGACCCCCACTTATTATGACGACCACGGCAAATGTTTAAAGGACCACGTTTTGAGGGATATGCACCTGGAATGTCCGGACCCTTAATGGGGAACGTGCCTCTGCCCGGCTGGTGGATGTCCTCGTAAGAACAAAAGCTGACATCACCGCCATCCAAGAAATGCGTTGGACGGGGCAAGGCAAGCAATGCCTGGGGCCTTGTTACGTATGTATACTATAGCTGCCATGTAAAGGAGCGCAAATTCGGTGTTGGATTTGTGGTCGTTCACCCCGGTGGACGAGCGTCTAGCCATAATCCGCATCAAAGCGAAATTCTTCAACATCTCGCTCATCTGCGCCCATGCCCCGATGGAAGAGAAGGATGAGGTACACAAGGATCTCTTCTATGAGCACTATGAGCCCCCGCCACGATATCAAAATCGTGCTTGGCGACTTCAATGCCAGGGTTGGCAAGGAAGGGATCTTTGGAACCACCGTCTGATAATTCAGTCTCCACGACGAAACGTCCTACAACGGACTGAGGCTGATCGATTTCGCCGGGGCACGAAACATGGTAGTATGCAGTACTAGGTTCAAGCATAAAAAGATTCATCAAGCTACGTGGCTGTCTCCGGATCGAAAAACGAGAAACCAAATCGACCATGTTATGATAGACGGAAGGCATGCCTCCAGTGTTTTGGACGTACGTACACTCCGAGGTCCAAACATCGACTCGGACCCCTATCTTGTTGCAGCCAAGATACGTACCCGCCTCTGTGCAGCAAAATATGTGCGTCCAAATATGCAAGGAAAGCTTAACGTCGAAAAGGTGCAATCACAACAGACAGTCAATGCATTCGCTACTTGAATCTCACACCTGCTCTCAGAGAGCACTCTTCAACAAGCCGGCATATTCGAGCAGTGGAACCACATTTCCCGCTCTTTACCGCCGCCGAAGTAGTCGGTATTTCAGCGAGCCCGAAAGAACAACTGGTACAATGAGGATTGGCAGGAAGCTGCAGAGAAAAAAGATGCCGCCTACAGAGCCACATTACGATCGGACGCAACGCGCGCTATGTGGGACCGCTATAGGGATCTGAAGAGGGAAGCGAGATGTATTTTCCGCAATAAGAAGAGAGAGGCCGAAATACGTGAGTGACAGCCTGTCAGCTGCCCAATCCACAAGAAAGGCGACCCCGCCATTCGCGCCAACTACCGCGGGACCAGCCTTCTAAGCATAGGTTACAAGGTCTTATCGAGCGTATTGTGTGAAAGACTGGAGCCCACCGTCAATGAACTGATTGGGCCTTATCAGTGAGGCTTTAGGCCTGGAAAATCCAACATAGACCAGGTATTCACAATACGCCAAATCTTGGAAAAAACCCGCGAGAAAAGAATCGACACTCAGCACCTATTTGTTGACTTTAAAGCCGCTTTCGACAGCACTAAAAGGAGTTGCCTATACGCCGCTGTCTGAATTTGGCATCCCCTCAAAACTCATACGGCTGTGTAAAACGACGTTGAGCAATACCACCAGCTCCGTCAGAATTGGGAAAGACCTCTCCGAGCCGTTCGCCACCAAACAGCGCGGCTCTCTTTCATGTGACTTCTTTAATCTGATGTTGGAGAAGATAATAAGAGCTTCAAAACTGAACCGCTCAGGAACAATTTACTACAAGAGCGTGCAATTGCTGGCTTATGCCGATGACATCGATATCATCGGTAACAAAAACCGCGAAGTCTGTTCTGCCTTTTCCAAGTGGTAAACGAGGACAAGACGAAGTATCTCCTGTCAACAAATAAACAGTCAGCACATTCGCGCCTTGGCACCCACGTCACTGTTGACAGTTACTATTTCGAGAAAGCAGAGAATTTCGTTTACTTGGGAACCAGCATTAACACCGATAATAATGTCAGCATGGAAGTGCTACGTTGGACTGAGTAGGCGATTCAGGAGTAAAGTTCTCTCTCGACGTACGAAACCCACACGCTATAAGTCACTCATCATGCCTGTGCTGGTATATGGCGCAGAAGCATGGACAATGACAACATCCGATGAGGCGGCTCTTGGAGTGTTTCAGAGAAAGATTTTGCGGAAGATTTACGGGCCTTTACGCGTTGGCGACGTCGAGTACCGCAGACGATGGAACGATGAGCTGTATGGTCTCTACAACGTCATGGACATAGTGCAGCGAATTAAAATACAGCGGCTCCGCTAGCTTGGCCATGACGTTCGAATGGACACCGACGCTCCAGCTCTGAAAGTATTCAACTCCGAACCCGCTGGTGGTAGCAGAGGAAGAGGAAGGCCCCCACTTGGCATTTCCAATTGGCGCTAGTTGGCACAGAAAAGAAACGACTGGCGAGCTTTGTTGAACTCGGCCAAAATCGCTTAGGCGGTTACAGCGCCAAATAAGAAGTAGAAGAATATAAATTGCATGTCAGCGTATATAAAACTGGAATCTCTTCAGGAACCCTTAAACGATCATCTGTATATCAAGGGCCAACTGTAGGAATTTGCGCAAAATTGCACAATTAAAAAATGTCGATTTAAAGTAAAGAAATATGGTAAAGAAATCGCATTTTTTTGTGTATTTTTGGTGACAAAAATTTAGTCCTTGGGATTTTTCTCATGTCGAGTTCGTGGTGGGAGCGAAGGATGCAGGTGTTATCCAATACGCGCAGGCTTGGTGTGAGGATCAAAAACCGCAGATTACGATGCCAAAACTTTCTGCAATAGGCTTTTTATTGCAAAAGTTGGAAACTGCCGGAAAAAGGTGCGAAGATATTAGAAATCAAATTATATCAGTCAATATTTCGACTAAAGCGCCATCTAGCGGGACTATTCTTTTTTGTAAATTTATTTCTTACTATGTATCTAATATGTGTCGCAAATTTTAACGAAATGCCGTTTGTGTGTGAGCTGCATGAGCAGAATTGCTTGAGCGGTTACTGTGTTAAATGGATTATTTACTTTGCGTTGACTTTGCTTTTGTTAAAAACTTATGGCGTTATTCATAAAAAATAAAGTACCTTTATAAAAGGTTTATAAATTGAAAAATATATGAAAACGTCAATTTATAAAGCTCTATAAACCATGGTACAATAAAAACAGGTAGAAGCCAAATTGACATCAAACCTACAAAAGTCCAAGTTTTCGGGAGAGTAAAAATAAAAATGAGCGTGTGTAAGGAAAAATAAAAAAATTACATTTCGCTGGTTGACGTTTTTAAGTAAATTTGAAGTTTTGTATTTATTTATTTATTTTCTTTAGTTAAAATTTGTTAATTTATATGTTCTTTTCTATTTTTTTATACATTGAAAGTTTATATTTATAGTACCTGTTTTAATTTTGTATAATATACAAATGTATGTATAAAGCGATATATGTACTAGGCATAACGTTGGACAATCAATAAAACAACGGAACACAAATAATGATTGCGACATTCCCTGTAATGCATTTTCAATAAGTTTGGCTTTCTCCAACTCTGTCTTGAGTGCTGAGTTTTCACCCTCCAGATTTTCAATTCTTGACTTCAGCAACAGAATTTCGAGTTTGTAGCTGGATTGTTCTAAGTCTCCACTAAACGCCTTAAATTAAAAATATTTCTATAAATATTCGCGTTTTAACAATGCTTACTCAGTTTGTGAAGCGCGATCATTTATTAGGCTTTCACAACTTGATTTATGAGTTGCAGTGTTGTTGGAAGGACTTTCCGGCATAAGGGTCATAGGAAGAGCACTTGGCATCAAACGTGCCTTTCCTGTACCTCCTGGTGCATTTATGAAATCTGCTGCTTTAAAATGCTTAACGCACAGCAAGGCATTTCGCTGCAGCTCTACACCACAGCTGCTTTCCCAACGCTCCTTACGCCGAGGGCATTGAGGCACGTTAAAAAAATTAGTGATGTCTGCATTATATTTAACACCACATAAAAAACAACGCTTCAGGTGCTGCATTTTTAACACATACACTAAGTATAAACCGCACAACACTACAAAAATGCAAATTTAATTAAAATTTGTTTTTAACGAACATTCAAAAAAACAAACGACATGACATTTTAAGCGTAACGAAATATAGGAAATAAAATAAAATCAAGTTGAAGTTTAAAGGTTTGGTTCTCATGAGAGCAACGTCATTTTGGCTTCTACCTGTATTTATGTGCCTTGCTATAAACCTACTTTATTTTTTATGAATAAGGCCATTACACTTTTTGTCAGATAATTTTGCTGGTTGAAAAATTACTATTATTGTTTTGTAATTGAATAAACATTTTTCTTTGTAAATCTTCGCTATTTATTAAAAAAAAACATACCGTTTACTATATCGGCGATGAAAAAAATCAAGAAAGCACGCATTCAGGCAAATGGATGACACACAATTCAAGGCATTGCAAATGCAAAATCAACAGATTTTGAAACAACACCAAAAAGAAAAGAATTTGTTGCAACAGCATATCGACAGCTGAGTGGAAAATCGACCAATCTCGGCGGCCAGTTCGAAAACATCCTATCTCAGAAAACTTTTCGAGAACGCCTTAATTTATAATTTGATTGAAGAACGCCCTATCTCAGAGTTCGGTTCAAAAACGCCCTATCTTAAATGAAAATGTATGAAAATGTGCTGATAAGGCGTTTTTGAACCTAATTCTGGGATAGGGCGTTCTTTAACCAAATTCTGAAATGAGACATTATTGAAAAATTTTCTGAGATAGGGTGTTTTCGAACTGGCTGCCGAGATAGGTCGATCTTCCACTCAGGTGTCGATATGCAACAACAGCAGAATCTTATTGAGTGTATTCTTCAAAGTGAAGCCGCACCAGCGGACAATTCGGATCAAACCGTTCTTGCTCAAGATTCAACAGCATTTGAGGGGTTAAACGCTTGTAAGATTCTTTGGTAAATTTTGAATATGAGCCAGACAACAACCAGAGGTTGACGTTGTTGGGTGAATCGACAAGTTTATCCACTTTTTCAAAAATGCAATTGGGAACAGTATGAACGTTATGCGGATTTAATTTTACCTATTGCACCACAATATTGTACAGTTAGCTCTTTTACTTCAATAGTGTCATAACTTAAAAACCCAACCTCACATACGCGTTTTTGCATTATCTTGATACGCGGTTTTGTACTTTAAACGACGATATACATATAAATAGTGTCAAAAACAGGTTGGGGATTTTTATAAAGTCGCATGTAACTCCGTTGTTTTTGGTACCAACACTTCAAAAATTGTTATTGAAGGTGTATTTTAATACCTCCTACCAAAATCTGCGAAAAACGCAGTTTCGAAAGAAGTGTTGGTTATAGGGCCTTTGTGAATTAAGGTAACGATATATATGTACATACACTTGTGATCAGCTAATTAAGCTAATTAATATAACAAACAGTACATAAAATTGTCTAATTTATTTTGTATGGAAAAAAATTTGTAATGCAGTCAGAAAAAAAATTATTAAAAATCAACGCATTTTTTTTTAGCAACTTAAGACTTGCACATTATTACCCTAGAATTTAGTGCATACTCGAAAAAAAATCTGAATAAAAAGTTGAAAATTTAGCTGAAACTTTGCAGATTTTTCATAATTTTTGCACAAAGCTTTAAATCTGGATTTATATGGTGTTTGTTATATAATGAGCTAGACTTTTATGGAAAAATAATAAATTAAATTTTTATCTTAAATTTTTTGTATACTGAACGTTGCTACTGTTACGGAAGTCTTTTTTGCAAAAAAGCTTTAAAACACCATCTTCAATTCTGCGAATATATATATATATATGCGAATATTTCGTAATAAAGAGGATTTTTTCAAACTTTAATTTTTTTTTGGGGAAACGCAATCAAGGTTTGATCAATTCATATATGTATTTCTTCCTGAACTATGATTTCGAATTGCAGATTATTATTAGTAATTAAATAAATTAATATTACTATTTTTTTTTACACGCATATACATCTACGCTTAACGTGTAAAAAACAAGCATCAACAATTTCCAGTTAAAAACAAGTAAGCACGCATCATTTGTGCTTGTCGCTTACCGCACCATACAAATTTTAAGCGCCGATACGTATGCGTGTAAAAAAGCACGCCTATTATCTTGTTGTTTTTTTTTTTTTTTTTAGTTTATCAAAATGCTAATTTTACTCTCTTACCTGGCGATGGTACTGAAGCCGCTTTGGCCGATTTCTTTTTTGTGCCAGCTTCCACTTGCTGAATAATGGGCAAGGGATCGATGTCACCGCGATCGAAGTGACACTCAAATGTCAATAAATTCTTTGTGTAGTGCTTGCGTAGAGTATAAGCGGCACTGCTGCTCGCGCCAATGCCCAACAAACCGGCAATATCCTTCCAGGTTTTACTTTTAGTAACCTTTTGGTTGGTAATATTTAATAATTTCAAACGGCAAACAAGTTCGAGTTTTTTATAGAACAAAGGAGAAACATATAGTTAATAAAAAATTCAAGAGACTTAAACAAAAAAAAAACAATGAAATATAGCAAATGTAAATTTGAATTTAATTAAAAAAGAAACTGCCAACAAACAATGATACATTTGTAGCTCATTGACATGATTCAATAATGAAAGGTTTTGTAAGAAAAACTTTCTCTCGCTCTAATTTTATCAATGACACTCCCACCCTACTCCTAAAAACAAAAACAGTGATATTTCTTTTCCAAATTTCTTTGCAAGTTTTAAGAACATTTTTAAATTGTTAGTAGTGAAATTTTTACTTTTTAAATTTGAAGAAATGTTTGTTCTGCATTCGCTGGCGCCAACAAGACAAAATGGGTGAGAATCGTTGGACTACAGAAATTCAATGTTAAGAGACGAAATTCCCTTAAATGCCGAAATGTATTTGTCGATATTCGTGGAGACCTCTTGATTCTGCCAAGTCGCTGTAAAGTAAAGCGTTCAATGAGCCAACGAAGGTATTTAGGTATTGTACTCCACGACACAGTCCTGGTGTCTCCGAATGAGATTTTGACGCAATATAACATTGCCAAACCGCATCCATAGGCCCAATCGTCACACGACAGCTCGGTTTAGTCAATGGCGCGATGTAATTGCACACTTAAAAGGTGTACGCACGAGGCGAATGTTGGCTGGCGACCAACTTTATTGCAAGCGATTAGCTGAAAGTAGAATGCAAAGTTGAACAATACAAACGCCTTTTTATGGCGAATATTTTAATATTTTTTTATATTTTGATATTTTTAGTCATTCAAATTTTTTTTCGTGCAACCCGGCGGGAGTTGAACGCAAAAGTTGCCTGAAAAATCGCCTCGTGCGAAAGCCCCATTACGCCACTTCTCATTTGACGATGTAGATCACGTTCCCTATCTCAGTCGTTCAGTAGCTGCGTGCTCTGAGTTCGTCCGGCACCAATCGCCAACTGCGGCTGTGCAAGCCAGTGTTGAATATTTTCCCCAGAACATAAAAAGTGCGACATCAAAGAATTCGAAACAATCGAGCCATAACCGCGAAAGAAACGTAAGCTCCAAATTTTTTTATTTGCCGTTTTTTTGTTTAATAAATATTGCATATTTTCCGCAAACAAATAGCTTCTTCATGTCCATCAACTGGCAAACAAATACAACAAAAAAAAAGCTGAAAGTGGACCATCCATTCTCGAGTTATGCGCCATCTGACGTACGCAAGTTTGGTATAAACATAGAAATATTTATTTTTAATAACAATAGGGGGTTATATTCGATGTAAATAAGCTTGTTTAAATTAAATAATTAAATCAAATTCGTTTTTGTTTTAAAATACCACCATTCACTATTATCCCCACGTTTTTATGGAATTTAGCTCCCATTTTAGGAAGTGTGATTGAATTCTTCCCCTTTTTCTTCTGCTTCTAAAAACCATCCCTGTGGGTGGGAGTGCCAAATTTTAGAAAAAAGCTACTTACAAAACCTTTAATAATTGAATCATGGCTCATTGATGCAAACTGCTTTCTTTTTCAAATATTTTTTTTTTCTTATATCCAATCTTAACTTAAATATAGGGGTACATTTTAGTAAGATAGTTCGAAAAAAGGAAAATTGAAAAATACATACATACATTGAGTATAAAGTAAAACAAAATAAACTGGGAAAGTACTAAGGGGAAATTCGGTGGGAGATTTTAAAGTTATTAATTTTGCTACTTACACAAAGTGGGAAAGGGAATCAATCGATCGATCGAGTTACACATTCGTACACCACTAGCGGAAGGAGGATCAATTGGCGGGTGGGTTATATTAAACTACGAGTATGTATTACGGGGAAATTGTGTGGGAGTTTTCAAGCAATATTTTTTTAATATGAAAATACAACAAGCAATAAGTCAAAATGTTGCAATGATGATTGTAATAATTGAAAAGTTAACATAAATCTGAAGTAGAGTAATCCACAAATAACGGTATTTGAATAATTTAACTTAAAAATTTGTCTCAAATATTGTTTACTCAAATCGAGATTTGTTAAACCAATATTGACGTCTGTTCAAAGCCATTAAGGGTTTCGAAATGAAAAATGACTCGAAAAAATTCTGTAAAAAATACGTATGTTATCACACAAACCAAATTTCGATGGGTATTCATGGAAACACGTAAATGACTCGTAAACTTTATTTGGAAACAAACCGGTTCGGCATTGATAACGAAAAATTACACTGGTTTCGGGAATGGTATTCCACTTGATTTTGGGACTTTGCAGTTTTTGAGTATTTTCTGATACTTTTCGGATTCTTCGTGTTTATTTTTTCGGTATTCTTAGGATTGGTTTTTGATTCCGAAACGGTATATTTTTCGGAAAAATTTTGGGATTTCTCGTTGTCTGAGCACAAATTTTTAATTTGCACCTGTAAATATTTCTTGCTGTGCAATAACAGCGGTTTTTGGTCGATTATTGTTAATAAGTGAACACCAGGGACCGCGTAACGGTCAGCATCTTTATAATAAATCGGCCATGAAAACGCAGGCTTCATTAAATTTGAAAATTAAATGATTATAAAAATCTTCGATATTTAACTCTCGACTTTCATATACAGAACAACAAAAAAAACAAAAAATGAGTTCTGGTACATACAGATCATTTTGGAAATTAAATGTGAAATCCGTGCTTAAAGAACATTGCAAAAAAAATAACAATAATAATAATAAATAAAAATGAATGTATTGAAGTGAAGCATTCTGATCAAAAAATACTCAAAAATTAGTTTGATGCTTGATAGCATGCATTACATTCAAGTATTTATCTAAATATTTTTTTATATATTGTCGAAGCAAAACTTTTTTGTGCACCTTAAGCCTATGCCCTTTAGGTCACATAAGACAGCAACAAAGTTCTAAAGTCAAATTTTTTATAAAAACAATGGGCAAAAAAGGACATCTCATATTGACTCGTAAAATGTTTCCGAGGAGTGCAATTGCATTTTTTTTTGTTTTATACAAAAATTGCCTATGCTCTATACAATTCACAATAAAATAGTTTTTGGAGTGGAGGGGCTGGTGACTATAATGATGAAAATGAATGTGGTGATGATGATGATAGCTCGCAATGAATTTAGTGAAGGTGGTGATGGTGTTGTTGCTATTCATAACAAAGCATAATTTTTTTTTTGTTGTGCTTTTGCTTTTGCTTTTGTTTTTTGATTATTCATCATTTGCTAAATTTATGGGTAGCTAGTAGTAGTAGTGGTGGTAGGTAGTTTTGCTACTTGGTAGTACTAGTAGAAGGTAGTAATGGTAGTGAATCTAAAAAGAAGTTAGTAAAAGGAATTACTACGGCACCTTGCATACCTCGACGAATCCTCCACGTTCTTTTACATAAATATATAACCTATACAAATCGAGCGGTTGCTTCGATATTGTTGGACAGGCGGTGATTGGTGTGCGTCGCTCCTCCATGAATGCGCGCAGCTTATCCAGCCAACTGCGCCTTTCCGGATTATCATCCATTTCGTAAAGTTTACATAGGCTATCTGATTTTTTTGTAGACGATGTACGAAAAGTCTCTTGAGGCGGCACGTGGCTATTGAAAACCTGCTGTAAATTGTAAATGCAAATTCTCAATCACAACATCCTACTGATAGTAACTAGCAAAGCAGCTAACTTACCGGACTAGCTGGTGTTCGCGTCCAATTTGGTGGAGAACTCATTTCATACTCCTCACCCGGTCCACCAGGGTGCCCGGGATGTCCGACCGGCGATGTGCTGGGCGGCGCTAGATGGCTTTGGCTGTATGGATCGTTTTTTCGTGATTTTGGAGTTGTGCATTGTGGATCTTCACCCGAAGCTGTAATTGACATTAGTATAAAATATTAGATTTCTTTCAACACTGTAGACAAGTATTCTCTAACAAATCCCTCAAACTACACCCGAATATTAGCTCACCTGCTGATGCATTGGATAGCGTACTTTGTTGGCTAACTTCGTCGATGGGCGTTCCATCCGGTCCGGTCGTCACCACCGAAGTAACTGGATGTGGTCCCGATGCTGTTGAAGAACCCGACGAACTAATGCCGTTATCCTGGGAGATGTGTTCGCCATCGCCAGGCAATATCACGCCACTGCCAACGGCGCCGCCCACACCAACCATACCACCACCGGGACCAACCACACCTGGCCCACTAATACCACCCATCGTTTGTGGAGGTGTAATGGTAGGTGGTCCCATGCTGGTAGGTCCATGTGGTGGCCCCATGTGGTGTGGCGGTCCCATTGGCATGCCTGGATGCATGCCAGGTCCATTTCCGTAGCCCTGCTGCGGCGCTGGACCGCTACCATAGCCACCCTTATGTTGTAAATGCTGCTTTAGATAGTTGAGAGGGCGTGGTGAGCCGCCTCCGGGTGGTTGTGGCGGTCCGCCCGGTGGTGGTGTGCCTTTGCCCTGTACATGATTGCCCATGCCCGCTGCGCCGCCGCCACCTGGTGCTACACCGCTACCGGGTCCGCCTTGAGGTGAGGGTGGCACCCAATTCTGATAGGGTGGATACTGAGAGTGCGGACCACCGGCGCCGGTGTGATTCGGCATTGGTCGACCAGGATATTGAGGGCCGCCACCTGGTGGCATACTATTCGCAGATGTTGGTTGATTTGAAGGCGGCGGTGTGGGCGCATAGCCGCTGGGCGTATACTGCGGACGTGGCGGGTAAGTTCCTAAAAAAAAAAAAATTAAATTAAAAAAAACTTTAAATTTTAAATAAATGTTTATGGATAACAAATTTACAACAGACAGGACAGTATAACCTGACTCAACTCGGTTGAAAACTGTTAACATTTAACCGTGCCGCCGGATTTTCGTCGAATTTGCATGAGATTTCGGAGGGAAAATATTTTTCAAGATTCTACGAAAAAATGTATTTTCCGCATATGAAATATAACGAAAACTTCAAAGCACCAGCGGCACGGCGATTTCAAAATAAAAAACAAGTCTGCTTATTTTCCATTTTTTATAATTTTGGGCGGGGCAGCCAGAAAACTTGAAAAATGGGCTTGATTGTGTATTGTTGGACCACAATAAAGTATATACGTACACCCGCTGGAAAAAATTTCCGTTCAGATTTTTTCACAAGTTTCATATTATTTTTCTTAAAAAAATTTCTAAATTTTCATGAAAGTATAGTTCATTCTATTACATAAACCATTTAAATATAAGTTTCAAAATTTGTGCAAAATTTAGAAAAAAACCCCAAATTTTCAGAAAAACTTTAAACTTTTTCGTTGGAATTTTTCGGTATGCAGTTTGTAGTCCAATCCATTTTAGTATAATAATGAAGATGCTAAAAATCTTGTTGATTTTTGATAATTTTTTTTATTTTACGTTGTCACCCATTTTCTCCCATATAAAGCAAGGCGAATTAATATAAGGTGATAGCGGGAGCATGACAAAAACAAAAATTTGAATGTATTTTGTTTTTGCTTCGGCGGCATCACAGTATACTGTGGGCGCCATTAACTGTCAAAATCTGTAAGAGTGTGTGTGGAAATGCTAGGAAAATTTTTCAACTTCATACAAGAAGCCGTGAGGCGAAACACATACACAAATTCAGCTGATCTAGTAAAACCACCTTATATAAATTCGCCTTGGTACAAGCAATGTTAAAAGTTTAAAATTTCGCTGAAAATTTGACAAATTTTCCTAAATTTTACATAAACTTTGAAAATTATATTTAGGAATTATCGTTGATTTTTGGCATTTTTTTCCAGTAACCTCTTCCATACAAAAAAAAAAAATTCGAAAAAACTTTATATGCAAAACACCTTCACCAAAAAAATTCTCAAAGATCAATGCCAAGGCGTATTTAACAAGGTGGTGTTGGCCGTATATAAGTAAAAAATTACACTAACAAATTATACGCTGATGTCCATACTGTCATTGGTATGAGTTACAACAAACACATCATTTTGACGTAATGGCCTCCACGGCGAAAAACTCAGCTGTCGCCCCAACACCACCTTGTTTAATACACCTTGATCAATGCTATTTTTGACTGAGAACTCAGAACAGAAAACATCTGATTAAAACGTTGAAGATTTGCTGAATATTCTGGAATTTATGTTTTTTGTTGTAGAAGGAACCATATTTTTATAAAAAATTGTCCGAAAAATTTTAGAAAAAAATACATTTTTTATATATTGTGAAAAATTTGCTGTGCCACCAATACTTTTTGCCGGCAGTGAATATATTTTTTTTTATGTAAACAAAATAAAATTGAAAAAATCTCTGTACGGAAACTTTTTCTAGTGAGTGTATTTTAAAAAAAAAAAAAAAAAACAGTAATATCTGACTCCTTACCTTGAGAATATTGCTGCGACTGCTGTGGTGGTGGATAGCCAGTCGGCAGGCCTTGCGGCCCTGGCCCTGGGCTTTGACCGGGACCACCCATCTTATAGACTCCATGCATATGCGGTGGTGGCGGATAGCCGCCCGCCCCAGTACTCGCACTTTGAGGCGGTGGTGTTTGCATACTGTTCAAGCCTTGACTCGGTGGCGGTGGTTGTTGTTGTTGCTGCTGCTGCTGTTGCTGTGAGCCCGTGGGTGCGCCGGGGCCACCAGGAGGTATGCCACCGACTTGCTGCTGCGAGCCACCAACACCGACTGGAGAACTATGTACGCCAACCGGACCACCGATCGATTGCTGCTGCTGCTGCTGCTGAGATTGCGGTTGTTGTACAGGCATTTGTTGTTGCTGCTGTTGTTGTTGTTGTTGAGCCTGTGGACCGCCGCCACCTTGCGCCGTTTGCATGTGGGGCGGTGGTGGTCCAGACGTGCCAGGCTGCTGCATAGGACCGCCACTACTCGATTGATTACTAGAGGGCCGTGAAATGGGATGACTTTGTGCTAAACAAATGTATAAAATAGAAGTGTTAAAAACATAATCATAATCAAAATCTTTAATTGGTAAGTTTGTTTATGTGCTTACCCACTGCCGGCGACATGGAACGCGAACCGGATGAGCCTGTCGGTGAAGGTGTGGGACGCATTACCTGCTGCGAATTGGGCGTGCCTGGGGCGCCCGAGCCCATGCCACTATGTGCGCCACCGCTCGAACTATCGTTACTATTCTGGCCGATCAATTCCTGGAAGGAAATGAGGTAAAACGAAGAATTGTGGTTAGACAAGAGTTGGTGAGAGCAGTTTATGGGATTGGAAATAAACGATTACAATATGAAACGAATACCATACTTTGTACAAACTTTCGAAATGTTCCCACGGCAGAATTTTATTCATGTTTCCCTCCGTTTAGATTTTTATTGTGCTTTATTTTGTTTATATCTGATTTTTTGTGTTATTTTCGTTGGGTTGTTCTTTTTCAATGTTTTTTTTTTTTTTTAAATATATTTTCGTATGCTATTTTGTCGACGATTCCCATTTAGGAAGTTTCTTTGCTGGAAATTCAATTCTTGCTTTAAAAATTTTTTCATTTCTGTCAGCTGCACAAATTTTGGATCAAAAAAAAAAAAAAATATTTTCATTTTTTTTCTACAAAGTGAATACTGAAGCAACAAGTAAGTGCATAAAAAGTTGCGAATGCTCTGCTTTAACAGGAAGGGTAAAACAAAGATTCGATTGAGGATGCTGCCCGTAGCAATCAACTTTTGATAAACTCCAAACACGACTTTCCATCATTGTAAGTATTTATTATTTATCGAAAGCCCCCTTTCTTTCAGGTTCTTCATACACCTGTTGGAATTTTTCGCGCGCAATTTCCAACTCATTAGTCTCATAAACAACGCCGAGTACGGCAAATCCATGTATAGTTATGCATGGTCATGTTGATTAGTTTAGATAGATTGGCATGAACGGGCATGTGTCACGTTCGAATGGCAATAAAAGCCGGCCGAACACGCAAAGGCGAACACGAAAAAAAAACAACAAAAATAAATAAATATTGCGCGCCTCTCCTTTCAAATCACCTTTGCACTGAACATCTTTAACCATTTTTTTCAGCTGTTTGGTTTAATTAAGCCGACATGCTTGAAGGAACGAGTCACTAAAAAAAAACAAAAAAAACAACAATAAACTCGTTTTGATGATAATCAATAAACATTTGGCGATCGATCAACGCAACAGCAATAAATAGTTACAACCAACCGAATGGCAAGTGGTTTGCGAGCTCTCGCTTGCTTTCAACTGTCACTTTTGTTGTTTGACAGCTATGTTCTTAATTCGCAGAATTCTTCAGAGTAGCAACATCGTTTATTTTGGAGGCAAATACAAATTTAGAGGCAGCCATTTTTCATTTGAAAATAGTATACATCTCTTTATGCAGGTTTTCTAATTTTCTCAAACTTTTAAGAGCCTGCAAGGCTTGAACCTTCTTGTTTGGCGACATTTTACAAATGAAAAAGAGTGCTGTCAAATGCCCAGTCAACAAAACTCTATCTCGCTTGCGTGAGAAAAATGCAGAACGCAAGCGAGATTTTCAAGCATGTGAAGACGGCCGGTTAGAAAGAGTGGCCGGCTCTCAGCAGGCAATGTCAAAACCTGCGAGCGTTAATATTTCTGCGTAAAATTGTGGATGGATCTCTTAATTTGTGTTACATCCAAATACAAATACAAATATATATGTATACATATAAAAATATAAAATCAGCTAATTTGCTTCTAATCAAATTAAAACTGAAAAATCGACATACCTAGAAAGACGGACAGGGGTCGTTTGACCCAACAACTTTGAAAATTAATTTTAATAAAATATAATTTTAGTAACTT